GTTTTATTATGTATTATACAATGTGATATACAAATAATATAATTAGTTTTGTGTTATACACTTGGATATAAAGATAATAATAAATTATAGACAACTATCGAAGGAAAATAAATTTTTGATATACACAAAGAAGAAAATTAAAATTGTGATATATATATTGGTATACATGTTATACAGTATGATATACAAAGAATAAAATCTATTTGTGTCATACACTTGGATATACACTATGGTATACAAACTATAGACAACTATCGAAGGAAAATAAATTTTTGATATACACAAAGAAGAAAAATAAAGTTGTGATATAATATTGGTACATGTTATACAGCATGATATACAAAAAATAAAATTTATTTGTGTTATACGCTTGGATATACACTATGATATACAAACTATATTTATAATTTTTAATATTTTTAATGCTTGTGAGAAATAATTTAAAAACATAGAACAAAGATTGTACAGATTTGGGAGAAAATCTTGACAGATTTTTGAATTCTAACGAAAAAGAAATAAAAACCTATTTTTGGGGTGATGGTTGGGCCATTAGAAGAGAGAGAAGGTCATTAAATTTTAAATTTAGGCTACGTGTGCCAAATGCTAAAAGATAGGTCATTTTCTGCCAATTATTGGACTAAGTTGTTATGCAATGCCAAATCCTCTTTAGAAAAATGTCAGGCTAGGTTGGGCAGCCTATTTTAAGGCCCTTTGGAAAAGGGATTTTTTCCTATCTATACCATATATGAAACTTTATTACTAAAAATGCGCATAATTCCATTATTACCCGCCATGTTTATATTTTTCCTACAAAATTTATACCATTCATTAAATACCCAATATTAATAGATGATTCCTTCCAAATTAGGCGCCTAAAAATTTGGGACTAAATATTTTTTCATATTCACATCAAATTTGTTTCCTCCTTTTTCTACAGGCTTCTCTTTCCTCATTTTTCACGTCCTCGCCCTGCAACTTTTAATCCACGCCCAGTAAGTCAACTCATGTCTCCAACATCATCTATTACCGAGATTCACCAGCAATTTGTTGCACCTGAAGATACATTGGAATCTGATTTCGGGGAGTCTCCCATGAAGAAGAAAAAGAGAATCAAATTTTCCATTCCTCTAGCTCCAGTCAACAAATTTTCTAAAAAAAATCTACAAATAAACTACAAATCAGTTTAAGTATGTATAAAGCAATATTGTTTTAATGGTATCTACAAATTACTACATTTATACTACAATTAAACTACAATCTATGTTGAAAAAAAATGTTGACTACAAAATTTTCTCCTAATCTACAAATTTTCTACAAAAAATCTACAAATAAACTACAAATCAGTTTACGTATGTATAAAGCAGTATTGTTTTGAAGGGTATCTATAGTATAAATGTATGTATAAATCAGTTTAAGTATTGTATAAAGTTGTATTGTTTTTAAGGGTATCTATAAAATTACTACATTTATACTACAATTAAACTATAATCTATGTTGAAAAAATATGTTGAGTACAAAATTTTCTCTTCATCTACAAAATTTCACAAAAAAAAGTACAAATAAACCAACCTTTCTTATTCCATCTTCATCCTTGTCAAAGGCCCATGACTACTCCTTAATGAAATCTTCAGGGCCAAATTGGTGTTGGCCACAACCACCGCCAGTATTTGGCGTTATTATTGAATGGGATTTACAATGGGTTTCATATTGAATCTCTTTGGCTAAAAATCTGATTATAAAAAATGGATCTCATCTCTGTATTTTTTGAGAAGAAGAAGGAATGGAGAAGAGAAAGAAAAGGGAGGGGGAAAACAGTGCTGGTCAGATCTTGGGAATTAAGGGGAGAGAGAAACGTGGGATATATGGACACCTTTAATTAAGGAGTAAAAAACTGCCAATTAATTATACCTCTAAATTAATTATGGTATATAAATGATAATTTGGTATGCTGAAATATAATTAACTCAAACCTTAAACATTGAGGATAATAAGGTTTCATATGTGGTATAGGAAGGTAAAAATCCCATTTTTTTCAATCACCACTTTCACCATAATAATCCAAAAAGAAGACGAAAAAAAAAAAGTGGTTGAGATCCGACCCGGATACTGATCGGACCTGAAAACGCTGCAAACAAAATTGTGGCAGGCATTACTCTGTCGCTTTGTAGAGGATTTTGCTATTCTGTTTTGTTCATCTAGCGAGCGAAACTCCATTAACCTCCGCGGTAAGTTCATTTTGCTTTTCTCTCTCTGCCTTCTGATATGTAAAATACCATCTTGTTCCTTCGTTATACACTATTCTCTCCTGTAATTTCCAAAAATTCAGTTCCGCTCAGTATGTTTTTCGACGTATTGTGCTACTATATCTGATTGGGTGATTGAAACTGGAGTTAATTTTAGATGACTGCAATCTTGATTAACACACTAAAGTCCATATTTATCACTTTGTTTGTGTTTTCAAGACTGCCCTTGTCACCAATTTCTAGTACATAATACATATTGAGTTTGTGAAATGCAGTCAATGGAGGGTAGCTGGTGTTTGGCCTAATCTTGAAAAGCAATGAGTGAAATTAATGTTTATTAGTAAGAGTAAGAGATATAGATTGGAATATAGAGAGTTGTAATGAGGGAAAAAGCTAGTACTTTGTTTTTCTATTAAGTGTGTTCGGTATAAAGGGAAATGATTTCCATGAATATAGTGGTCTACTCACTTCTTTTCGTTGTTTGTTCGGTGAGTGAAAAATATTTATTAAAAGATTGAAAATAACATCTTCAGATTGGATTGAATTTTATCGAGTATTAGAAATTGATAATAATGTCTAAGTTCTGGTTGGAGCAAGTGATATAGAGCAAGAGTTGAAATAGTTATAAAAGAAAAATGACTTCTCTCATCTTCCCCCTATTGATGGGAAGTGTTTTCCTTGAAAAAAAAATTTGGTAACCAAATACCAAAAAATGACTTCTTCAGTATCATACAACTTTGAGGTAAACAGTTTTGGCATGACTTCTTCGGTATTTTCCATCATACCACTTTGAGGTAAGCAGTTTTGACATTTTGGATAACTAGTTGTGGGAAAATGATTTTAATCATTACCGAACAATGCCTTTTCATAAGCAGACTTTTCAAGGACTCACTATCAAGAATCTACTTTTTTTTTTTTTTGGTTTTGTGTTAATGATGATCAGAGGTAGTTTTTAATTGGTTATAACTTATAAGATTATCGGTTTGGTGAGAATGTTGTCAGCTTACCAGTTCTATGCTCTTCTCTTTCCTATTCTCGTAGTTTATACTTTTTTGCACGCCCTAACACAGTGAAATAGAGATGGACCTTAGTCTTGAATGTGCACCAAGGAGCTTCTGAGATGGTATTATACTGTTACAGCTTCAAAGAGAGTTCAGAATAGTATACTCACTTTCTGTTGTTTCCATAGATGTTAGTTACAGGTCATAGTTCAGCTATTCAAAAAGCTTAATTAGTACATTTTTCTCTAAGTTCTTTCATCATACAGCTTGTTACCCTTCTTTTAAACTTCCGAGATAATTCAGCTTGTTATTGATATTGTGACGTCCTTTCTGGATGCTTGGATTATCCCCGAGTTTGGTACTCCTATTTACTAATGTAAGTTTTAGTGATAAGCCCTTGTGTCATGGACACACAAAACCTTATAAATGTGAATGTTTCAGTCAAGATAAAAAGAAAGAAAGTATTGGATTTGAAATTAAATAGCACTATTAATAATTCTAAAAGAGTACTTATGTAAATTAGGGCATATATGCAATTGGAGAATCTGTTGGTCTAAGAAGCTTTTTGTGACTTAAATCTTCTGAATCTGTGGGTTCATACTAATGAAAGCTCTAATAAGTGTGTTTTGAACAACTCCTGAGTCCTAACATTGATTGTGTTATATATTTGTTAGACTGAGCGGGACAGAATAGTGCAGTCACTTGAAGCCTTATTGGCTATCACCAGGGGCGGATTTAGGGGGGCGGAAGGGCCCGTACCCCCTTCGCCGAAAAATTACACCGTATATATAAGGCAAAATATATTTTTTAACTCTATATATTAAGTTTTGAATCCCGTTGACATAGTCCAAAAGTGTAGCTTAGTGGTCAAGGGGGTTCAAAACATTTGTAAAGTCACAGGTTCAATTCTCACTAGCTACAATCTTTTTTAACTTTTTTATTTTTGAACCCCCTTGGCGGAGATCCTGCCTCCGCCACTGGCTATCACCAATCATCTCATACCTTTTATGGTATTTCTTTGCATGTTTCCCATCTTCTGGTTCTTGTCAAATTGTTACTTTATACTTGTTTGTCTCCCCTTTGGATTTTTTGGCATGTTAATTGTAAATCCATTTGCAATATTCCTCAACTTGAAACAGAGACTAGCTTATAAAGAAACATTTGAATAATTCTGCAATAGATTATAAAGAATCATGTCACTTGAAGAACTCCTTTTTTTAGATAAAATTTGGGTGGTGGAAGAAGACTGTATAATGAAAAATTGCATGTATATTTACTCCACAGCAAGAATTAAAAACTTTTAACAAATTCTCTGAACTATGCAACTGGTGCCCAAGCTATGAAGTAACTCAGATTTTAGGGAAAGGTACATGCAGGAACCAATTGACCGCCAACCAATCCAAGATGGTATTTGGAAGCCTGTCTTGCTCTTCGTTTTACGCGATTAGTCTGTTAGACTGAGCGCTGTATATGCATGACCAAGTTTTTCTTCAAAAGTCATTGCAACATAGCCAGTACAGAAGTGCTGATTGCTGAAAGTATAATAGAGTGACTGTTGTCACATGGTCTCGATTCGTATTGGTCAATTATCCTGCTTAGAGAAATCTATGCGGATTGTCTTGCACTTTTGCTGAATCTCTGAACTGGGTTAGTTTTCCAGGGTTGTAAAATTTAAGCATTTGGGTCCTTTAAGCCCTATATTTCTTACGTTAAGAAAAAGAAAGTTGGTATTGACTTTCTATACTGCTCTTGAAAGTGTTGAGAGAGCTCCTTTGGGATGTTTAGATGCTCATTGTTCCGTGTCTTCAGCTTTGTTGAGATGCCCTATCCTTCTTTCTATTTTCCTTTAATGTTTGTTAGAACTTCCAAAGTAGTGTTTATTTGTAACGTGTGCAACTTGGATACACAGAACATCGTTGTTTTCTCAGCACATTGTCTCTTGTTTGCATCGGTCATCAGGTTCTTGAAGTTGACCGGTCATGGGAAATAAGGCAGCAAAACCGGAGAGAGATGAGGTGCTTTTGAAGATTGTCCCTCCTATAGATCAAGCATATGCTCGATGGCTTGCTCGAGACCTTGAAAGAATTTATGGCTTCGCCCCAAGAAACCCTCGTGCTGTAAAGCCACCTGATCATTACATAGAATACATGCGCTTAAACGGATGGTTGGATGTCAACTTAGATGACCCCGACCTAGCTCGTTTATTTAAATAATCAATCAACTGCAATAGCATGTATAAACTTGAGCAAGTAGGAACCTTGGTTTCAAGTTGATGCTTATTAATGGGATTCAGATATTAAGCAGTGGTATCAAATGCAACTGCAATGTACTTTAAACTGAAGCTATCGAGAAGTATTACCATTTAAAGTTTCTTTCTTTTCTGTTTTGTTTTACATGTTAGTCTTTGGTAGAACTGTAAATTGCTTTCATGATATCCATTGTCTGTATTTTAATTGAATACACTTAATCAACTGCAGGAGAATATCTGTGACTTTATAAGTGTATAGTCTGTTTTCCTTTCCAACTTACCATAACTACATTGAAAAGGGAAATTTTAACCGAAAAAGGGATAAAGAAAGAGAAGTAAAAGCCTATAAGCCTCGTTTGTGGTTGAATGTTAACTCACTTCTATAATTGAGGTAGCATCTCCTTTCCCGTTTCCCATCTCTCACGCGCCTGGGCCCTGGCCCTTGATGGTGAATAAAAACGCAAGTTAAAATACAAAAAATGTATATTTACCGGGAGTATGCAATGTATGTTTAATGTATAATCACTGTAAATCTATGTATAATAAACATATACACTAACTATATACTGAGTTATACAATAATCATACATCGAACATTAACGAATACCTCCATCTCTTTCCTTTCTTCTTCCACTAAAATCAGCAAGACGCACATCATTTTCATTCTCCTAAATCACTTAGCCCCACCGCTCATAACAGTGCATTGTACTTTTTCCGAATATTGTTTATATCATGACCAATTTATAGAAATAGAAATCTTCACTTCAACGTGAAGTAAGATTGAGCGAGAACGAGGGAATTAAGGGAGAGAGAAACCGAATATTATTTGCTTTGTATATTTTCAGATGGGTACTGTGTCTCTTACAATCCCTAAAATCAAGTGATTTCAAATCACAATCCCTACATTTAGGACTAACTTGTTAATTAGCTTAACTGGCTAAAAATAGTATAAAAAAAATGTGTACGGTGTTTAAAATGAGTTGTAAAAAAAAATAAAATACGTATTTTGCCTCCTATAGTAAATTATTACACCATATTTATTATAAACTAAAACAATTTCAAAATATTGTTACTTATAGCTATCATTTCTATTTTACAATAAAATAAGTATTTATTTTATACCCTATCATGGAGGCGTGAAATACGTCAGTTATGTTCTTTCTCTCTCTATCAGCAAGATTCTTAATCCTCTCCTCCCTCAAATCTCTCTTCCTTTTTCATCAAGGCAGTTGTCATAGCAATCATTTTTGATAGCCATGGTGGACTTTCTAAAGCAAAGAGAATATATCCGAAGCAAAGAGGGAGTAGACGAACGAATCTGGCATGCCTATGGATTGAACTCTTGGAAAATCTGAAGCAGAGTCGTTGCAGCCATTTATTTATATTAACATTTTTGCTTTTCTTTCCTTACAAGTCATAATAAATCCAATTATAAAGAGACTCGAAGTCCTAAACCTTCAATTTCGATTGAAGAAACGAATATATATCAAACTCTGCATCTTGAGAAAAAGGAGAAGTAATACATACTAGTACTCCTAGTAGAAGTAGAAGGATTGAAAGACGCAGAAGCAACAATAGAACAGGATGAAAAATCAAGCAAACCTCACCGCCGATCCACAAAGAGAAGCACTCATCAACACATTAAGTGAAGGAACTTTTACATTCCTATTCCATATAGGAAACTATTGTTGACATCCAATTTTGTCCCTCCTTTCTTCCAAACTATTTCTTTAAGCTTCTAATATTACTAATAATTTAAGATTAATTATTTTACCGTTGTTATCCCAAAATAGACCTAATTAGTATTATTATTTTCATTATTGTTATTATTATTATTTATATTATTTTAATATTATTATTATCGTCTTTTGCGAAAAGTATATCACTTTCGCTCATATAATCAGATAGTAGTATTTATTTTAATTCTATACTTTACAATATTTTACTCTTTATTTTACAAGTAGTTAATAGTTAATGTGCAAAATTAAATGCTAGCAAATTATAAATTTTGATAAGGCGAGTCGAACAATTTAAAGTAGTTATTTAGATTGCATGAGTATTTAAGAGATTCTAATAAGAAGTAGAAGCACAAAGAAATACCCAAGAAGAAAGGAGGCTAGAAGCTCAAATAGTACATTCTCAATCACTTAGCCCAACCCCATAAATAGCCCAAATCATAGATCTATTACCACCAGCCCACTTACTCTACTCTGTGCCATGTCAGCTCCACATAAGCTCCACATAACTACCATGTCAGTGAACTATGCGCCAACAGTAAGAAACACACGCCAAACTCACGCTTGCACACTAAGGCACACGCTACCACAGCCAAACATTTCATTGTTCATTCTCTATCCTCTTTTCTCTATGGCAGAGCTTTCCCTTGTCTTCATAGTTATTTTTGGCTTGCTATTCAATTATCTTTCAGTCATGGCAGATCATTGCCATTTCATATTTGGGTAAGAGTCTTTGTCATCAAGATCCATAGCGTTTTTCTTCAACAGAAAAGACCAAAATCTTTTGAAAATCTCCATTGCAAAGATTCGATTTCAAACGGCTATTTTGGAGCCCTAAAATTCACAATCCCGCCTAAGAACTTTAACCCTAGTTTGCCTCTATAAATACTCGCATTTGGGGAGAGTTTGAGGACAAGCTGGAAACCGCCGCTCACCCCCCTCACATCTGCCTCCTTGCCTTCTCTTTACGGGAATCTCCTCCATCGAAAGACCTCTCAGCTAAGCTATTTTCTGACACTCACTTTCATCTCTCAAAACATTGGAATTTTCTTTTAATCTCTTGCTCTCTGTCACACTCGACTTTATTAGAAGAGGGGTAGATCTGAAATGGCCTCCAAAGCTTTAGTTCACTGCTCAAAAATAGGTCAGTTTTCATTCTATCTTTCAATTCTTTTTATTATGATATAATACTTGAATCATGCTGTTTGTTTTATGTTTGTAAGAAGCCATGTCTTATAAGAACTTAAAATCTAGAAATATCATCAAGTCAGGATTTATGTGTAGATATCCGCGAGTCCTCCTTATGTTTGAGTTCTAAAAATCTTACACTAGATATCCCGAGAATAAGTATTCAATTTCTTTTATGTGATCTTTAGCGTCGTTTATCTTTATGATGTGAATTAGTGTTCATCACTTTAGTTAGTAGAGATCATGTTCGAGAGGAAGTCGATTCTACTTTAGTTATGTTAATACCTGTTCGGAAAGTATTTTACCATGTTAATCCTAATCTGAGTGCTACGAACTGTCTAATAATGACACTATTAGAAATCATGTTTCAGGTATCCACACTAAGAGTATTGTCGTTGCTGAAGTTTTGTTTATGTGCCATCTTAGGAATCTTGGCTATAATAAATATATCTTCCCTCTCCGTTAGCTTGTGATGATATGCGTTTGTTTGGCCCTTTTTGAATGTTAAGTTTGAGCTCATGTTTTCTCAAAAAACATGTCAACATAATTTTAAAATATCTTATAATGTAATCGACTTTAGCTAGCAAAATACCTGCTATTATAAAGTGCTGATGTGTACCCACATGTCCTTTATAAGCGTCGGCAGTTTTGCTAATTTAAATTGTGACCTTCAAGAGAGTTTACAACCATAGGCTTTAAGATTTTACTAAAAAAAGAGATACAAATGTGTATTTTGGTTTAGACATTACTAGAGAACTTGTTTCTATTAATGTAAGTTGGCTTTCTGATAGTCACATATATATATATATATATATATATATATATTATTAATGAGAGGCATTGATCTGTGTTCATTACCGGGCTCATTATCACTTGGAATATATCCCCGTAGAATATTTAATCCTCTGTAACACTTGTTCTTTGGCCTTCTTAAAAGTATAAAAGCAGAAGTTTGGGTTCTGAAATTTTGTACTCTTCTAAAAGGTTTATAGGAATTCGAGAGTGTAAAATCTATTGGTGTGGTTCAACTGTGTCTTCACGTGAAATTATTCGTTGCAAGTTAATAGTTTGATTTGCATTCCTGCTTCTTTCTATGTTTCATGCACCTCTAAGAGTAACGTTCTCTTCTAATTCTGTTTTTCTTATCTCTTTTTGCATATGCACTTGGAGCAAACCTGGAGTCTTAATGCAAGACTTAACTCCACCACCATCACATGGAGTCATTGCATACCATATCTCATAGATGCACCGGATAGCAAGAAAACAAGCGAATCGGTTGGGGTCGCCTATGGCAACTTTTGTTTTACTTACTCTACCTGTTTGTTGTGATTTGCTTTATTTGAACCTATGATTGATGATTAATTTTATCATTTAAAATTACAGCTTTAGTTTTGGCAATGTATTTAAAGACTTAAAAGGATACAATCTCAACATTTTGTGGGTTAGTATTTTTCATATGAGACGTAAGGAAGAAAACTGTTTTTCTCCGCATCACATCTTAATAACTACTAGTGTACCCGCGCGACACGCGGTCAGTATTAAAAAATATTAATTAAATTAAATTATGATAGGGCTTGTTTGATCCTATTAGATTGTATTAATAAAATTCAATTGTCATCTTACTGTTGAAATATTTTTTTTATTTTAAATTTTATTCTATTGTTCTTAATAAATTAATGAACAAAATCTCTGTTAAACTAACGGGACTTATACAGAGAGCGTATTGAATAACTTTTTTGTTATCTATTTTTATTTATTATATCATCTAATATTTAATAAAAAGTTTTATTAGCATATTACTTTATTAAATATTTTTCTCTGAAAGTTTTTTATGTCTTTATTTTTATTTTATTTATTTTAAAATAATTTTAAAACTTCAACTTGAAACTAATCCCCAACTTGAATGGGTAGTTTTTCTTCTCTTTCTTTCGTTTTTTTCATAGCTAATTTTTTTTTTGCTTTTTTATTTTAAGATAATTTATATACTCCAACTTGAAACTACTCCCACCCAATTTGAATGGGTAGTTATTTTTTATATATTTATTTTTCGTTTTTTAATTATATTTAATTATAAGATATCTATATTTATTAATCCAAATAAAGTAACCAATTAATACATACATACATACAAAACATACATACATACATACATACATACATACATACATACATATATATATATATATGGTAGTTTTTTATTTTATTTTATTATTTTTATTTT